CAGTGCCACTACCCTCCAAAACTGAATTTGGTCCTCAGGCTGAAAGAGGCTCAACATGCCTGGAACGTGATATTCCTCTTAACCTTATTCAGGTGTGATACCTGAAGAGGTTACATGTAAAATCCTTACATACAGGGACTCTACCTCTAAGTCCTGCCTCTGGGTGAATGAGGAACTCTAAAGGCATTCTCTCGAACACAACCAAAAGCCTCCACACAACTCAAACCATGCTTTATCCGGGTTCCTATTCATGTTTAAGTGAAGTAGATTAGAAGCCTTCTTCAGAACTCAGCACAGAAGCCAGAGATGTTGAGGGGTGGTACCCAGTTTTGCCATAATACCTGTTCCCCACTAAGCTTGTATAGACATTATGCTTTGGTGGTAAATAGTGTATCATTCATGGCTGTTTCTTACATTCTTTTTCACATCATAAAGCTAAATGGCATGTATGTGCTAACAATGTATTTCAAAAGCCTTTTGTTATGATAATTCAAAAACAGTTTTGCATACATGCATACACCAGGCATGGTAGCTGGGGAACAAAGAATTAAAGCCTAAAGGTACTATCCAGTTCGTAAACACCTCCAACATGCACCATAGATACAATGCATATGGATAATTCTGCAGAATTATCAATGCTGCAGAATTAGCATTCACCTATGTATCCATTGTCTTTCATATGATGAAGTTTGTTGTATTTATTATAGGACAGGCTTTAAAAAATCACAAGCAAAACATACTTATTTTTAAATGACTGCAGGCACAGAGACACAGTGAAAGGTTTTCAGCATTTATAGTGAATCCAGTATGCATACATTTTGAACACAATGCAAATGACACCATTATCAGGAAGAGCTGACATGTGTGTGCACTCTCTCTCTCTCTCTCTCTCTCTCTCTCTCTCTCTCTCTCTCTCTCTCACACACACACACACACACACACACACACACACACAAAGGGGAAAAGCCATCTACTTCTGGAACCCAAGAACCAGAAAAAATGTCACAGCATTGCAGCAATGCATGAAGGAATACTAGAACCAACACATTCACTCCATAGCAACAGAACAAGTCAGAAGGCAGGGGCTAAGCAACAACCACCACCAAATAGTACAACACCATCAATAGTCACCTAGTTTTCAGCATTTTAATGAACTTTTAGGAAACAAGGAAACATCTCCATATGATAAACCGGTTCAGCTGCATTCACTGAAAGCCAGGTTAATATTCAAGCCTTCTTGAAGTTCAGGGTTTGTCTAAAGTGACCTCGCTTTATATAATTAGACTATACAGATATGCTGTATATATTAGTCATATCTGTGTATTAGTTGCCGTTTTAAAAAACTTAAAATTCATTTAAATTATTGTTGACATTGCTAGAGAATTGTGATCATTGTCTTTGTTCCCTGCTGTTTGTATTTTTGACCCTACGTTACATATTTTTGCTGTTATGGTTTTCAAGTTGTTATTGTTGTTGTAAGCTGCTGAGAGAACTTGAGTGGCATATAAATACTGTCAGTCTTTTCTTTTTTTAATGAAGGAGAGATTAAAAAGATAAAGAATATGTGTTTATTTAAGTTGCATGCTGGCTCAGGATTTATGCAGAACACCCTCGTGAGCCCTCAGTGCTAACATCTGTCCAAGGCTGTCTTTCGAGGAAACAGCTGGATCTGGGAGTTGCCATATTTAGACTACCTATAATACCCTGATGTAGCAGAATGCCAAAACATCATCAGACATTTAAAATTTTTGAATCAGGATATCTACTTCTACCCTGATGGTGTTGTGATATTCAGTCAAGTGCTTGAAGAGAGAAATGACAAGGTGCTAATTCTTGAACAAAGTAATACTGAACGCTTCTGCTATTTAGCTCTCACACTGTCGATAGCATCTTAGGAGAGCTCCTAATTCTTTCTTCCAGATTTCTTTTCTTTTAATGTTTTCAAATTATGAGAATTATGTTTGAGGTCTTCTCACAGAACCACATTTCTTTCCTCATTCCAAATGACAGGAAACCTTCTAAGTATCCCCTAGATGTGAGAAAGTGTTATTCTCTTTCATCACATCACTGTATCAAAATGCAAACCTCAAAACTGGTTCTCCTGCTGCCAGATTTGCCAGTTTCCTCTGTGCTGAGGTATTTAAAATCCTGTAGAGATCAAATCAGCAGTGCCCACTCTCTCTCAGTCCAGGGCCAAGTTCAATTTCAGAAAAGGTCCCAGGGTCCACATTCCAGTGGTGGGCAAGGTTGAAGACAAAAGGGAGTGGGCTCAAAGGCAAATGGGTAGGACAAAAAATGCAGCCCAGTAAGGCTTACTGCTAGTAACTAAGCCTTAGGAGGGGCACTTCAAGGGGAGGCCTAAAACCTGTGCCTAAAAGCTCCAAACAGGTAGTTGGGAAAAAGGTGGTGGGCCTTTCTGGGGAACTTCAGAGGGTCAGATTGGAGCCCACGGTAAGTTGGGCCTGGCCCGTGGGCCTGAGGTTGCACGCCCCAATTAAATTGATGGCATTTATGTGTTTGTTTATTTACAGCATTTCTACCCCATCCTTAACAGTGTCTCAGGACAGCTTAAAAATAAACAATTTTCTCTTCTCATTGATTGATTCTTCTTTTTAATGTGGTGCCGTGCAGCAACAGTACAACCCAATGCACCGTTAATCATCTGCAGGTAATCACAGGCAGGGACAAGTATTCACAACTACAGATGAAAAGATCCATCCATCCCATTCAATGGGACCTTGAGGTGCATCTACATTCATATAGATTGCTTTGAACAAGAATCCCCATTCCTGAATTGATGGAATATTCTATATAAGCAATCAAAGGAATAAAGGCAATGCTTTGTCAATCAAACACCTAGGATCATTCTCAACCTTTTCGACTCCTCTTTCTCTTCTAATGGGATGGGTCTTGCAGAGGCTCATAAAAGTGAGGAAGGACAAAGGTGGCAACTGAACTATTGTTATGCATTCTTGTTTTTGCATTCTTGTGTTGCAAGCAGCCAGTGTGGTGTAGTGGTTAAGAGCATGGGACTGGGACTCAGAGGATCTGGGTTCTAGTCCCCGCTCAGCCATGGAGCCAACTGGGTGACTTTGGGCCAGTCACAGACTCTCAGCCCAACCTACCTCACAGGGTTGTTGTTGTGGGGATAAGATGGAGGAGGAGATGTAAGCTGCCTTGAGCCCTTTGTAGGAAAAAGGCAGGATATAAATCACAATATAATATAATAATAATATTGTGTGGAAAAACAACATGCAAATTAAAAGTGGTGGTGGTGGTGGTGGTGATGATGAAAGTGATGAAGATGAACCTGATGTGTGTGCAGGAAGGTCAGTACTGAAGAAAAAGTAAAGCAGTCTAGCTATCTGCCACGGTGTAGCACATCAGGTCTGGCTAAAGAAAAGGAACACAAAAGAGGATGAGCACAGACAGTGACACTATGAACAGGTAAGCAGAACAAGTAGGCAGACAGCTCACCTGGTCACTGTCTTCTGCTCTGGGCTGAGATGCATTGGATTTCTGTTGAAATTGTAGCAATCATAAATATTCCTCCATGCATATAAATATCAAATTAAAATATTGCACAAATGTTTGACTTATCTTGTTCTCTACTTTGGTGATACATTTCCTTTCTTCCAAGACATGTGGAAGTGAGCAATATGAATACTGTTCATCTTCATTTCATAAGAACACTGACTGACTCTTCCTGGACTGAACTTGAATATGCATTGAGCCTTACTGGAAAGACTGAGGCATCATCATTTTCAAATGTTGCTTTAAAAACAGGGCTCTTTGGCATTTAATACATTATTCTGGTAAGAGCAAAGAGGTTATGCCCAACGAGTGAGCTCAATGTTTCTGTATAACAGGCTCCCTGAGTTCACAAAATAATCTATAAAATGGGGCAAAATGTAGCAATAGGAAACTGCTGACCACTTCTGACCCAATTTTAGATAGTTCAACAGGTATATGTCTGTTATATGCTATGGTATAAGCAAATAAATATATAATTATTAGGATTTAATAAGATATTCAATGGTTTTGGTAAGAATTCTTAATCTAAATGGTGACGGATGCCTCAAACCACCTGTTGCACCAGGGTGGGCAACACATTCATGCACACCCCCACTGTCCTGGCCGCTTCAACCCTACAGCCACCTGGAATGGTGGAACAAAGAGCATTTCAACCCCGCCCTTTCCTAACCCTGTGTGGTAAATGTTCCATAAACTACTAGGACGTATCCAGAGACCTTTTGGATGCTTTGAACTCCCATAGAAAGAAAAGCAATGGGCATGGGAGGGATTTGAAGAAGCTTAGAGATGAGTTAGTATCTGAGGGAGGGTGTACCAAGGAAAGCCATTTTCTAGTGTGGGCCGCATTCCTTTATAGGAAACTTGTCTGAAACTGCCCATTGCTGGTGAGTGAGGCTAATTAAGGGGCAGGAGCAAAAGTGAGTGGGTGACCCCATATCTCTTTGCCCCATCCCTTTTTGTATCCTCTGCCAAGCAAAGATAAATAATTCTTGTCAGGGTTTTGGTCACATAGAAGGAGCTTCTGAAATTGGGCGGAGGGTGGACACAGAGCTATCCCGACTTTCCACTTCAGATTGCAAGCATCTGTGGATGCATTTGTTCGAAGTGTTGCTTGAAAAAAAAAACCCTCCTCTATGCTACACCCTGACATAAAACTGTGAATTTAACACCTTATATGGATATGAATATGAAGAAGTAAGAAGAAGAATATGGAGAGAACATTCTATCACACAGATCTGCTGTGTGGTAAACTATGTGAAGGGGAATATTCATGAGTATGTCCAAATGGGTGGTTTGACTATTCTCCCCCAGCCTGATCACCAACTCAACATTATGCCCATAACTGAAGATCACATGATCCAATCCTGTGTGTGGTTATAGTGCATATTTATTGTGACATATCAGCAGAAGAATCTGCCCAGTATGATTCAAACCACTCATTCATCTAGCACAGTATTGTGAACACTGACAAAGAGCAGCTCTCCAGGCTTGCAGGACCATTTCCTACTCCCAACTGAAAAACCTAGTTGGTAAGCAAGAATTCCAGCAATGAGTTATGGTCCCTTGCTAAATATTTCTCTAAATTGTTAATTATGTGTGTGTATATCTGAGATGTTAATTGTAGTTTAACCTATTTATCTGCCTCTGGCTTTGGGGATGTGCCTGTGTATTTAACTGACAAATATATTTTAGATGTTTGTTTGCTTTTTCAAAAGAAGATAACTTCAGATATGCAGCATCTCCAAAAATATATATTTGCAGGAGAGAGAGTTTCTAAATAACTTTTGATTTTCCAGGGATTTTATATGAGTGTATCTGTTACCAAGCACATCCACTTCTGAATTTTTACTCATCCTAGCCTTAGGTTCATGTTTCAAGGGCATACTTTCTTTCTGGTTAAAACTGGAGGAGTCTTTCACTCTCACAGATGATGCTGTTGACTTTTAGTATGCAAAAGAGTTAGGATTTCTGAGGAGAAACTTGTCATCTCATCAGTCCATGAATTTAGATAAGTCTGTCAATGACTCAGGAGTGAACTTCACTCAATTAGGGGGGCTTACTTTCACATAAACATGCTATAATTTTTGCTTCTGGGATGGACACATGCAGAAATCAGGCGCTTTGTAAAACTTTAGTAAATTTCACTATTTTTTCCTAAGCTAAACAATCCCAGATGCTAAGACCTCTAGAGGAGTTGCATCAGCCTCTTGATCAATGAAAGTTCAGCAAGGATGTTCCTGTGGGTGGCATAACATGATGTGTGATCCTGTTCCCTTTTCAGCACTCAGAACATGTGATTCAAGTCATTTATGTCACAGTTGGCTTGTCTCCAGCATTACCATGTGTGACCTAAGAAATCTGATCTTATTATTGGTAGATCAAATGGATATCATGAACTCAGTTGACCTTCCTCCTTTGATAGTAGGAAGTCTGTTATGCAACATATTTTTTAAAAGAAATATATACACAGCAACTTTATTTTCATTTTGAAATGGATAGTGCTCTGTTCCTAAAGCAGGATCTAGCCAACGTTAATCACTTTTACAGCTCTGTTAAGCTAATGTGATTTGCAACACAGGCCAAACCATGTTTATACCAAGTTGTGCTGACATTTGGGCTGAGAGCTTCTCTACATTAAGCACCTGTGATTCCTCATTTACTCAAGTCCATGGACTTTTTCATGAGGTCATCAACCTCCAGGCCTTCTCCTCTGTTTTCCAGCCATTTTTGAGGGACTTCATAGAGCAAGGAAGGTCAGCTATTAAAATCCATACTGCAACAAACTTGAACAAAAGCCACGTAGAAAAGTTGTGAGGCTGCTAAAGTGTGAACACCACAGCACCACTTGCCATAAGTCAGAGATGACTCAACAGCACATAACAACAACAACAGTGAGAAATGAGTTTACTGCCCCCAGTACCCTCCTAAACAGCAGCCCTGGCTTTAAGTCCTGCGCTCCCCGTGTTGAACAAAGAGCAAATTCAAGAAGTTCTCTGAACACTTCCCAATCAGCATACAAACATGTTGGCAGCGGGACTGGCATTCACATCTCTACCCACTTAGATATGTTGCTTGCAGGTGAGGCCAGGTGAGACCACTAAATGAACAAGCCTACATCTGGGAAATTCCAGGACGTTCCTCATAAAATTCCAGCAAAGCCTCCTGTTGTCATTGGACATGGGCCCCCACTCACATGCTAGACAATATCTAAGCATCTTCAGTTCAGAATACCTGGTCCAAAAGATATAAAGCTCTTTCCCATGGTGCCATTCTGGCCAGTCATCTTAAGGAGTAGTTCATTACTCTGGACCAGGATAGGATGTGGCCTACTCCACATTCTTCTCTGAGAAGCATTTATTGCTTCAACAACCACACTAATTCCTTAGGGTGCTGTTTGATAGGGTCTGTGTCTGGTCTGGATGCAAGCACAGAATTCTGATCCCCTCCCCATAAATAATCTTGTACTCATAACCTGCTCAGGTCAATCTCCATCAGATAGTTGTACCAAACGTTTCTATGCAGTTTTGTGATTAAATGTTTCCATGCAGATATGACTGAAATGTTTTCAGCTCAAGTATGAAAGCTAGACTTTCTTTTTCCAGCTGGGACTAGCCCCATATTCCTGCTTATTAGTGTCTTGAAGGCATATCACCTGGGCTATTTTCTTTGGGATACACTGCCCCTCTGATGAAGAACCACAGAAAAGGAATAATTAATTCAGGTCAAAATGAAACAAAGCACTGATAATTTGAATAGCCCTTTCAATTATTGGAAAGGTTTTCCTTCCGTCCTTCCTTCCTTCCTTCCTTCCTTCCTTCCCTTTTTCCTGTCTCCCCAGTGCCACAAGGGAATTTCCTTAAGAGGCAGTGCCTTTTAATTTGTTAAGAAGGCCAAATGATTTGGAAGGAATTGATTATAATAATGCAACATTCCTAGAATGCCTGAAGTTCTGATACATTTTTCTGGGATGCTACCTGTAGTAGTTTGAGGTATGTTCTATATTTCAAAAGCAATGGAGCCAAATGTATTTCCGAACTTTCTGTAGCCATTTTCCTTTATCCCCACTTTTTCCTGAAAGTGATAAATCTTCTGTTTGCTTGGCTTTCTTTGTTCTAAACTGGTTGTGTTGCCTGATTGCCCTCCCTCCTGCAATTATTTGCCAAATCTCCGGTCATCCTGCATTTATGGCACTGGGTCATTTTAGACTTGCAGACTGAGGCTGGATGCACTGCTCCATAATGTAAACATGTCTCTGAATTCTTAAACTTCAGCTGAGGGCTTTGCAATTGGTTTATGGGTTCCTGCTGAGTTTCTTTTTGCCTAACTGTAAATTCTCCCAATTTTTTAAACTGCTCTTATCATGGCAGTTGCTACCTTTACAGCTTTGTCCCAGGTCAAATTCTTCATCTGCCAGTAATTTCTCATTGATGTTAACATCGCCAACTCCATAAACAAGTCTCTCTATAAACATGTCCTTCAGAACATTCCCCCCAAAACAGTGTATAGTGAGGTTTTCTGAGATCAGATACATATGGTAATATAAATTTACCTCCCTTCCTTCTTCTGTAATGAAATTTGAATTGTTCCATAGTTATACTTGTCTTGCATTCAGACAAAAACTTTTGCAACCCAGCCAAAGTTTTAATTCTTGGCTTTTCTGATTGCAACAAACTCCTCAAATGGATTATAGGTTTCAGTACTGCACACATCAAGTAAAACCAAGTAATATCACTTTTGGATTATTTTCAATAGTGATACAATATTTTCAGAAAACAGTAGCCCAATCTGTCCACAGAGTTCTGCCATTGAGTCTACTAACTCTACTGGATGAAATTCCTCAGCTTTCCTACCATATGGCATCAGAGGGTTTTCTCATCACTACCATTTCTACCAAATTGCATCATGGGGTTTTCTCATCACTGTCTGAAGGCCAGTTCAGTTAAAGCAAAGGGCAGGGATGGGGTGGAGCAGAGTCATCTTTCTAACTTAGTATAGTGACGTCTGTAGCAGTGCCCATTACCATGCTGCCAACCAGAAAGTGAAAATGGAGGAAATGAAGAAAAAGTAGAGAAGCCTTCACACCATACTGAGTGAACCATACCTAAAAAACAAAACAGAAGACGGGAGAATGATAGTCAGATTGGCAAATGATTTCATTTTTACTTAAAAGCAGAAGAAGAGACTTTAACAGATTCGATGGAAATAAGCAGAATTAGTTTAACCTTGTCAACTTATATTGACAACTTATAATTGCTTTTATTTATTGTTTGTAAGCCACCCTGAGGCTTCGGCAAATGGGGCGGCATAAAAATGTTTTAATAAATAAATAAAAACTTGTTAATGCAAGTTGCAGGTTCATTCAGCTATTTTATCCTGTAGAAGAGTAAAGATGTTTCGGTGGAGACCAAGGCCAAGATCATTCAGCCTATTGCATTCTCAAGCACCATGTATGGGTGTGACATATAGACAGTGAAGAAAGCTGACAGGAAAAAATGGATGCATTTGAAGCATAGAATCATAGAATCATAGAGTACAAGAGTTGGAAGGTGCCATGAAGGCCATTGAGTCCAACTCCCTGCTGTTGCAGGACACCACATTACACCATCCCACTCAGATGGCTGTCCAGATTCTTTCTGAATGTCTCCAGTGTGGGAGCGTCCACCACCTCTCTAGGCAGTTGGTTCCACTGTTATATTGCTCTGACAATGAGGAAGCTTTTCCTGATGTCTAGCCTGAATCTGGGTTGCTGCAAGTTGAAGCTTTGTGAATGCCCTGGACCACTAAATCAAATCAAACCAGAACTTCCCCTGAAATGATGAAACTGAAGGTGTCATACTCTGGACACATCATGAGAAGACAAGACTCACTGGAACAGACAATCCTACTAGGGAAACTCAAAGCCAGAAAAAGAAAGGGATGACCAAAGAAGAGATGAAATGATTCCACAAGACTCCACAGCCTTGATTTTAGAAGAGCCAAGCAGGGATGTCAGGGCTGGGACATCTTGGAGGGCTTTCATTCACAGGGTCCCCGTAAGTTAGAGAGGACTTGACAGCATGTAACAACAGCAGGGGGATGGTACAGTGCTTTCTCCCTTCTAAGCTGGTTGGGCTGGTGGAGGAATTTTGCTCTTTCTACAAATGATGACATGGAAGCACCTTCACTACGGTTGCACTGTGAAGGGGCATCCATGTTTTCCATGGTGTGGGACACAAGAACATAGGAAGAGCCATGCTGGATCAGACCAAAGGACCATAATTCAAGGTCCATGATTCTGTTCACAGTGTTCAGTCAACCACTGGACAGTTTAGCTGAAGGCAAGGTTTAAATCCTCTTTCCTCAGAGCTCAAACTTCCATCAGATTCATAGCATTTAGCAGCTGGATTTAGGTAAAAATAAGATCAAGAGATTTGAACATGAATTTCCTATATTTTGACCCTGAATCTGTGACCCAGCCCTTTTGCAGTACAGGCAGTAATGGAGGAGAAATACAGCAGTTATTACACTAGGTTATTATTATTATATGCTT